CTGATATGCTGGATGCAGTTTAACCCTCCCTTTCCCCCCTCAACTGGATTTTATGTTAATCCTACGCTGCCGAACTCTGATGTCCAGTGGAAGCCTTTGGAAACAGAGAACACCTTATCCAGATTAACCCAAATATCCAGTTTAACCCAAGGCATACACACAGTAAGAGAATAAAGCAGGGAAGCAGCAGGTAGATAGGTGGGTAGGGATCTGAATGAGTGGTGTGTTGCATTAAGTTACTGTTATACAACCACTTCATGTGGCAACCACACAGCAGTGTAGAAGACATCAAAGCCTGCTGTAGAAATCAGCACGTTTTCTTTCTGTGAGTGGGGCTACTGTAGCCTATAATCACATGGTGTCCATTTTAATAACCGAGATTGAAAGATGCCTCAGGAGTAATAAACGGAGAGCACAGGAGATAAATATTTCCGCTAAGTGAATAGCACAGTCCCAGGTGCAGAACCTGGCATACAACGGGATCTCAGCCTTACCTTTCATTTATTTTGTTTTCATAAACCAAGTACCTAGCCCTTAAGGTGAAAAAAATGGTGTGGGAAACAACTGGTGAAATGTCAGAAGCTGGGGAGGAGGAGGAGGATTCTCAATCATCCAAGGCTTTCGTGCCATAAAGAACTTTTTATCCCCCATCTCGTGACTGGCAGAGAGGGCATGATGCGAGCGTAAACAGACGTGCATAATCTGCATTGCTCAGTTTATATAGATTATAGATCAATGTAGGGAGCAATCCTGAGCAGGGCTAACGGTAAAGGTAAAGGTGCCCTTGCTCGAAAGCCAGTCAAATCCGACTGTAGGGTTGCGGTGCTCATCTCCGTTTCAAAGCCAAAGAGCCAGCGCTGTCTGAAGACGTTTCCGTGGTCATGTGGCCGGCATGACTAAACACCAAGGCGCATGGAACGCTGTTACCTTCCCACTGAAGTGGTACCTATTTATCTACTTGCAATTTCTTGCTTTCGAACTGCTAGGTTGGCAGGAGCTGGAACGAGAGACGGGAGCTCACTCCGTCTTGCGGCACCCAGGTCTCAAACTGCTGAACTACTGACCTTCCACAGCCTGCAGTTCAGCGTCTTAACCACTTGAGCCACCACAGCTCCTTTGAGCAGGGCTACTCAGCAGTAAATCCCAATTTATCCTGTGGTGCTTACTCATAAGAAAGAGCTCTTAGCATTGGAGTTACCTAGGTGCCAGATTCGTACGGCCTGCCCCATCCCATTCCTCAGGCTCCAGGTAAATAACAACCTTTCTTTCTCTTCTATACAGCCACAATAACAAAAGGGGGGGGGGACTGAGGCTACAAGTCGGCCATTTGTTCAAGGCCCTATAGCAAGATTTTATGGGTAAGCAGACATTTGGACCTAGACCCTCCAAGTCCAAGCCTCTTCTCCAGTGTCCCCTTGCTATACCACCGCTATGTTGCTGAGATTCCAGAAATCTCATTCTGTACCGAAAGGATGTGGGACAGGTCTGGCACAGCTGCATACTCACAACAGGATCACACCAGAACTCTGCCACCTCGCCGATCCTCATGGAAGTCAACAAGGTCTCCCACACCTCAATTTTGAACATCTTCCCTACAATGATCTCCATGGGGATGCCGGCCTCACGACTGTCGTCTATGACCGTTCGCTCAAAGTCATCCTTCAGTGTCTGGAAGTGGAAAGTGATCTGCATCCAAAAATTAACAGGTGTTAGACTCCAGGTAGTCCAGATCTAGACAACTGGAAGCCCTGGCCTTCCACTGTGATTAACACCCAACCTTCATGTCTAGTACCCAGGAGAAAGAGAGCCAGCTTCCAGTTCATAGATGGAAGACTATTTGACATTCTTCTCTGTTCTTCTGATGGGAAGGCCTAGGAGCACTGGACCACTAACAGATGAGACAGGAGCTCAAAGAATAAATCTCTACTGCAGTAACATCTAGGCCATGTTATCCAGCAAACCACCTTCTTCCACCTGCCTATTTGCTCTGGGTATAATCAGATGTTAGGTAGATGGTTACCAGAGACAGAACCTTCCCTGTGGTGGCACCCTAATTGTGGAACTACTGCCCCAACCACATTCATCTGGTTCCAGTGTTGCCATCTGGCACTACCACCTGGATAAGTACCATCCTATTCTCTTGAGTTTTTGCTAGCAAACAAAGCAAATCCAAGATATTAACTGCTGTTCAGTTCTGGATTTGAGGTATTGTGTTGGTGTTTATAATATTGTTAGGAGATACAGAAATATACATTAACTGCTTTCAAGGCCTATCTTGACAGAAAGGAGGGCTAAAGGTAAAGGTTTCCCTTGCTCGAAAGCCAGTCGAATCCAACTCTAGGGTGCGGTGCTCATCTCCATTTCCAAGCCAAAGAGCCAGCGCTGTCCGAAGACATTTCCATGGTCATGTGGCCGGCATGACTAGATGCCGAGGCGCACGGAACGCTGTTACCTTCCCTCCGAATCGGTACCTATTTATCTATTTGAGGTTTGTTGCTTTCGAACTGCTAGGTTGGCAGGAGCTGGGACCAGAGACGGGAGCTCACTCCGTCATGCAGTCTCGAACTGCTGAACTACCAACCTTCTGGTCTGCAGTTCAGCATCTTAACCACTGAGGTTAAATAAGATGGCAGCTAACTCTTTCAAAGTGAGCTTGCTTCGTCTGGAAAGCCAAAAAAACTGACAGGACAGCAGGGACTACCGGCTGGATAAAAGGAAATGGAATCAGGATCCTGGTTTGGTGGCAGTGGGGATGCTAGGGAAGAATGATCTGGGACAGCTGTTCCTCCCTGTGTCCAATGCACAGTAGATCTACACTATACTTCGGTGTACCACTTCAATGCTAGCAGATTTACCTTGCTCCCCTCTTCGAAATCCGGCAGCTCCCCGTAGCCTCCATGTAAAATCTTTTTCTTTACTCCTTCCACCTTAAACAGGTACGTTTCCTCCATGGCTGAAGTGCCGGCAGGCCCGTCTCCTCCTTCTCCAAGTAACGTGTGATTGGTTCCCTACTCTTTACGATGATGTCTCTTCAGTTGTAACTGTCTAAGTAGAGGCAAGCCCTGCTCTAGGGGAACCTCTTTCCAAAGCAAAGGATGACCTCTCTCTATCCCTCAGGACCTTCTCCGGTGGACTGTACTCTGCCTTTCTGATCCTCTCCCTGTCCAACCAGGTTAATCCAGGATTTTCCTGCTTAGTGTTTGAAAGTCGATTAAGCTACTTAATAAACGAGTGCCATCCTTACATCATTCTGGATGCTGCCAGCAAACAGCCCCATCCTAGATCTCCTTAGAGGAAATGGCAGACCTAGCCAGACCGTACCAACTGAAGACCACAGCTGGGGCTCAGAAGAGAACCCTGCTGCACCAAGTCCCTGAACAAGCGGCAAGGGAGGAGGGTTGCTGCGGCTAGGCTTGCCAACTTCCAGGTGGGGCCTGGACATCTCCTGGAATCACAACTGATCTCCCGGCTACAGCGATCGGTTCCCCTGGAGGAAATGGCTGGTTCAGAGAGTGGACTTTATGGCAAGTCCCTGCCGTCCCCCAAAACCGACCCTCCCAGGGCCTCACCCCTAAATCTCTAGGAATGTCCCAGTCTGGACTTAGCTACATTAGTTGTAGCCAACTCTTTTCCTTGCTGATTTTCTATATGCAGGAATGTTTTTTTTTTTGTACAGAGATGCAATTTGAACACAATATGAAGTGGGGCGACCTAGGCACTGGTTTACTACTTCCATGGGAACTACCTCCCACTGAGTTCGGTTAAAGGGCTTCCTCTTAATAGGACTGTGGAGCCCTATTTCTGGCAGACAATCTGCCACAAAATCAGCTACCAATCACACACTGGAATATCTCTTGAATATTAAATCGATTTTAGGCTATGTTCCAACTACTCAGGCAATTCTTTGACATTAAGTTTTCTTCTGTCGGCAGTGGTGGTGTTCTCATCCTGATGACATAGGCACTGGAAATGCTTCCTAGATACGAGGCTGCTTTCTATCAAGTTAAGAGCAGCACTATTTACTCTGACTGGCAGTAGCTCTCAGC